ATGTGTATAAGAGACAGCCATAGGTCCATCACGTGGAGGGGCGGGGCCTGGTATAGAAACAGGCAGAGGGATAGGCGGGCCCGGGAGGGGAGGCGGGACCGGGGGGAGGAGAACTGTGTACCGGGCAGAGCTGAGGCTCGCTCGCTCGCCTGCCACTCATGAAGGAAATGTGCGTACTTAAACACACAGCCCGGTGGAGAGGTTTGATGGGCTGAGCCCAACTCGGGGAGTTTCAATGAGGCCAAATGCCGGGGGCTGCCCTTGGGCCACAACAACCCCCAGCAGCGCTACAGGCTTGGGGAGGAGTGGCTGGAGAGCTGCCAGTCAGAGAGGGACCTGGGGGTGTTGATTGACAGCCGGCTGAACAGGAGCCAGCAGTGTGCCCAGGGGGCCAAGAAGGCCAATGGCATCCTGGCTTGTGTCAGCAATAGCGTGGCCAGCAGGGACAGGGAAGGGATCTGACCCCTGTACTCGGCACTGGTGAGGCCGCACCTCGATTCCTGTGTTCAGTTTTGGGCCCCTCACTACAAAAAGGACATTGAATGACTCGAGCGTGGCCAGAGAAGGGCAACGGAGCTGGGGCAGGGTCTGGAGCACAGGTCTGATGGGGAGCGGCTGAGGGAACTGGGGGGGTTTAGTCTGGAGAAGAGGAGGCTGAGGGGAGACCTCATCGCCCTCTACAGCTCCCTGACAGGAGGGTGCAGAGAGCTGGGGGTGAGTCTCTTTAACCAAGTAATAAGCGATAGAACAAGAGGGAATGGCCTCAAGTTTCACCAGGGAAGGGTTAGACTGGATATTAGGAAGCATTTCTTTACAGAAGGGATTGTTGGGCATTGGAATGGGCTGCCCAGGGAGGTGATGGAGTCCCCATCCCTGGAGGTGTTTAAGAGTTGGGTCGACATAGCACTGAGGGATCTGGTGTAGTTGAGAACTGTCAATGTTAGGTTAATGGTTGGAATAGGTGATCTTCAAGGTCTTTTCCAACCTAGATTATACTGTGATCCTGTGAAGAGAGTAGCCCATACTTAAAATTTCCCTCGAGTTTAGAGCAAATACAAGGCATCAGCATTTACAAGCCTTGAGAAGTCTGACTTTGCCCTGGCCTTTTGTCGGCTTTGTCAGCAGACAGTCTTTAAACCTTGAGGAGTCTGTGCCTGAGAGGCATCCCAACTCAAGGGCTGGTCACAGCTCTAGGAGAGCTCAAAGGCTCTCACTTAGGATCACTATTTATAGGGTCCAAGATAATTGACTTCCATTAGGTAATTTTCCATTTCAGCACAACTCAGCTGATTAAATACTCTCATACTTTCTACCAGTTGCACAGGCCCAGAACTTGTTAGATTTTGAAGTTCTGGTATCACCCCCTTTGCACCAAGACCCAGGTACAGATGTATTAGGCTGTCAGGAGGCGTTCGATTGTCCCTGAGCGAGAGGGGAAGGAGGAGCCACATAGTCAAGGGAGTGCCTTAACACTCTGGTGCTGCAATCCATCTTGTGTTGGTAAGTAGCCCAGGACTGGCAGAATCACACCAAGCACTGTGCAGCTCAGGAGGGGAGGGTTGCACCATCACAATCTCCCCCATGACTAAAATCAATTTAACTCATCCATAGAGTGGCACTGTGGTTGCTTCTTGCTTCTATGCCTATAAAGAGATAATGCCATAATCTAATTATAATTTGAGGGAAATTTTGTGTTTGGTTAGCCTATATTAATTAATTAAAATTTCACTAAGTGTGATTTAAAGTAATATACTCTCACATATACGTGGAAATATATACATGGGGAAACAAGATAACTTCAAAAACAGTGAGTCTGCCAGCACCAGCACAGTTTCTTGACCGTGACACAAACAGCTGAATGGGGCTGGTTCTCACTGACCCTGCAGTGCTGCTCCCTGTGTGTTCTTCTAATGACTAAACTTTGCTCATCACCTAACTTTCCTTACAGTGCGTGTACTAGGCAGAGTTCTTCTGTGCTCCACTATATATATCATACCTGCACTGGACTCCATCAACCTGAAATTTCAATATAGAGGTTAGTTCTATACATAGGGGAAAAGAGACTTTACTGTAGCCTGATGCACTCATCTCTACCATTCATTGTAACCTAGAAAAGGATGCAGGGATTACTTGTAACCTTGTTCAGAGATTGGAGATATCATTCCTATTCACCTCACCTTCTAGTGAATAACACTTGTGTAAGGAATGGCTTCTCTGTGCAGCCTCTCTGACTTTGCTCCCTGTGATTTGCTCCCAGATTATCTCTGTGGGGAGAAAAGCAGGAACACACCTGTGCCCAGTTACACTGGGCAGCAGAAGAAACTGTCAGTAGTTTCCTCCATGTCTAGGGAATGTAGTAAGCAAGACTGAGATGAGCAGAGAAAATCCCACACTGCAGAGTGTGGGTTTGGGAGTCTATGGTTGTCTGGGAAGCCTATAAAGGATAGTATCCTTAAGAAGAAGAGGCAAAATTGCATCCCACATCTCTGTGTATCCTCATGCTGTCTCTTTCCACCGTAAGAGAGTACTTTTTTTGCAGAGGTTACAGAAAAAATGGCAGAGCTGTCTCTGGTGTTTGGTTTAAACTTGGCTGTACATCGGTTGGCAAGTGGTTTAGTATGCACAAAAAAATCTGCATCGGCTGACAATGAATGGAGAAATTTTTTTAAATGGCTTTGGAAAACAGCGTAGAAAATGTTTGGTTCAGAGTGTCAAAAAAAAATCATTACTGCACAAAAATGTGGCTCTGTGTTTCACAAGTTGTCCTTAAGAATTTTCCGAGTGTTTTGCTGATTAGGGATATCAATTAAACTCAGACACCAGAGTGAAAAGAGCAGGTGTATTTTACTAGAAATAACTAAATAATGTAACAGAATAATACAGAAAACATACAGTAAGAAAAGACAGAATAGTGCACTTAAACAAATAGGAAAATACAGGGTAATGCATCAAATCATTACTACCTGAGAGAGAGAATAGTGATTAAGAAAGATACCTCAGCACTTACATACGTTACCATCATCCAGCCCCGCAGTGGCTGGGCAGCCCTGGTTACAGCGAGGGTTTGGGGAGCCTGTCCCAGCAAGTGGGAAATCCTATGCGGTGTGTCCACCCATAGGTGAGGCTGCCAAAATCACTGTGAGTGGGTCCAGCCTTGTATACCCCAAAATCAGCAAGCCAGAATAGCTGGCACCTTTGTTTTAAGTGGAAATACCTGGTTTCAATCTCACATTGGGTTCCCCCCCAAGCCTGGCCAGGGCTCAAGGAGGAAGCTCAGGGAGTTTCTCTGCCTACCTGATGGGATTATGCGCAAGGTCTCCCATCAGGTCTCCGGGACAGACACCTGTCTCCATGACTCTGCTATTCTATTCATGTACAAAGGAAGGGAAAGATACATTCAAGATAGCTGCATCCTTCATGCATATTTCATTAATGATTACATACTGAGATAACAGTTTAGGTTCAGGGCCTGTTGCTCAGCTTCAACACTTCCACCTTTTACATCAGAATAGGTGGTTTATTATAACTTAGTATAATACCTGTTAGCACAATGATTATCAGTTATAAAATATACAGGATTCATCTATAAGTCAACTCTGGCTTGGCCTGGTTGTCCAAGCCTTAGCACTTCAAACAGCAGGCTGGCTACACTGGTCGATAAAGCAGAACCAAAAGACCCCTGAGTTGGGGTGTGTCTGAGCCACTAAGTCCCCTTAAGCACAGCCCTCCTGGCTCAGGTCTAGAGTTCAGTCCACTTTTCAGGTGCCTCTTCTGAACCTAGGACACAGGTGCCCCATGCGCCCAGTTCCAGAGCTAGCTTGCCTAGACTGTGCTGTCATTGTACAACCAGTGTACTGAAAAGTATCTTGAATTTTCTTCTTGCATGGGGTGAGGGGAGGGGATTGAGGAATAAGCCAAAGATGACTGTACCTCACTGAATGGTCTGCCACATGTGTGCCTATTCACGTTGGTACTTTGGTTTTGTACAACTTTGGGGCAATAGATTAAATGTTTGAGGAAGTTAACACGCTCCTGTAGTGAGATGCTTTGCTAGTTCAAAGATCTAGTTTTACAGGTCAGCAAAGGCAATCATCTAGTTCGGATTGGGAACTGACTAGTCGGAGGTCGTATGACATGTCAGGAGACAAATTACAAGTTGAGTCTAAGAATGCCATGTGCCTGACGTAATTGCTATATAGCCTCTACCATGACATTTGGGTTGCATTTCTTTGCAGGAATTAAGTTGTTCTTTTTGTGTTGCTTCAAAGTGGTCAGAGCAAGAATGACAGTGTGCCTAAGAAAGACCTCGGGATGGGGTTTGAGGCAATTTGAATATGAGTCAACAGTGTGTCCTGGCAGCCAAAAGGGTCAACCGTGTCTGGGGGTGCATCAAGCACAGCATAGCTAGCTGGTCTAGGAGGTGATTGTCCCACGCTGCACTGCACTCACGCGGCCCTACCTCGAGTGCAGTTTTGGGTGCCTTAATATGAGACTATTAGAGTGTGTCCAGAGGAGGGTGACCAAGATGGTGAAAGGCCTTGAGGGCAAGACTTAGGAGGAGCAGCTGAGGACACCTGGTTTGTTCAGTTTGGAGAAGAGAAGGCTAAGGGATGACCGTGTTGCCATCTACAGCTTCCTCAAGGCGGGCAGCAGAGGGGGAGGTGCTGATCTCCGCTCTCTGGTGACCAG